AATGCCAGGTGTGTCAAGCAGATTTCAGAAGTGAAAGCTATCAGACAAGCACTCATTAAGTTGATAATTCAATATATACTGTAAAGAATTTTAAATTTTGAGTATTGACAGGTAAAAAATCAGATTTTCTTGACTCTTTTTAGATAAAGATTTTCGGAGTTACTTAAACAACTGGGGTAACTTAAGCGACTTCGCTGAGAAAAATTTCGGTAACTTTAAGCAAGTTGTTAAATATCTGTTTTTTTAACTTTCATGTCATTTGTTCCATGCTTTATTAAAGTTTTTGAAAACAGTACAGAGTCTTAAGGCTAAGTTTACAAATTTAACTACATGTTTCGATTTTACTTCTACTTAATATCTTTACTTCCCGAAATGAACGTGTTAAAAAATACGTACTGATATTTTAAAAAAGTTTTTAATTGTGAAATATACAATGTTTTTTTTTTGCATAATTTTAAAGACTGTAATTTCAAATAGAGCAAAATCGAAAATTTAAGCGAATCGATCGAATAGTTCGCGAGAAATCGAATTTTGAAAAAGTCGTATTTTTTAAAATTTGATTTCTCAGGAACTATTTGACCGATTTCACACAAATTTTATATTTTGCAGTGAAAAATAGCCTTTTTTTCAAATGTTGTAAAAATTTGTATACCTTACAATTCAAAATATAAAGGAGAAAAACAAAAAGGAATAAATATTTACTAAGAGTTATATTTTGCATGCATAAACGAATTTTATAAATGCGTGCAAAACATTTTCAATTTCTTTAAAAAGTTCTCGAGATATTTCGAAGTACGTAAAAAGTGAAATTTACATTAAGGGGTCCAAACTTTGATCCGCTCTCCTGGTCAAACTGTTGGGACTGTATTTCCCAGATTGCGGATATCCCCCGTATTTTTAGGGTCAGAAATCCGAATCAGTCGAAAAAAGGGTATGTTTGTTCAGAGAAAGTACGTTATCTGTCAATTTTTGTAACTTATTAACGCTAATTAACAAGCATATTCAAGGTCACCACTTCGTACTATTAAGATTGAATCCTAGAACGTGAAGATCCTACCATTAAAATAAAAGTTATTCAGGGTGGTCTGTTTTTTTATTTATTTATATATTTTTTGCACACTGTGCATGATTTAAGAAAACTTCATATTGATAAACATAAAATATAACTGAACACCAAAGTTTTATAGCAATTAATACCTTAATTTGGCAAACCTTTTCAATTGAAAAGCGTCTTAAGTAAAGGCCTTATAACTGTATCAAAAATATTTTAATGTTCTTCATTCTAAGCAACTGTTTCTATGTTTTAATGTTTTTCATTCTAGCATTAAATCATTTCGAACCACCTTTCTCAGCGTGATAGAAATCTCAAAAGTAGGGGGTGGCCTGTTTTGTTGGTTCCTATTTCCCTACTAACCTCCTAGCAATGTAAACAACGATTTGAATCTAGACAAGAGACGAGCGTGATAGATGGTTGTAATAGTACACAACTTCTTTGTGGGGTCTAGTAACATAAAATTGATAGTCCGCTGTTCATTCTTTGCATGCTTGGCTATGAAACCAATCGGATGTATTCAGAATCAGAGTCAAATCTAACAAGGCACATGTTGCTATTGTTGATGAAATCTTTGTGTGCAAATTTGTTTGTTACGGTTTCTGTAAACTGAGCAGGAAATTGTGTCCGCAAAAATTCACAACGATGTAATTTTTTTCTTTCTTTAGTGCTGTTGCTAAAGTAAAATTATAGGTAAATTCCAGTTTTCTTAATGATTTGGTAATTGATATTTTATTTTGATTTGGTTATTCTAACTGTAACTTCATCTTTTTTTTTTCTTTTTTTTTATATGTAGGTGTTTCATTATTACTCTGTGTACTTTTAAATTGTGTTTGTTTGTCATTAATTTTTCATTGCTTTTTCATTTCAATTTTTCTAATTGCTTTTTTTTATTTGTTTATCCATTATGGGGCCTCGGGGCACTGTCAGTTTTTGGTATTACCACTGACAACAGAAAGGTCCCCTGATGAAGTGCTGTCAAGCTAACACACATATCCTAAAATATTCTTCGTATTTCGGACTTTTTGAATTAAAAAAAAGTAAATTCCATATTCACTCTTTCTACAACTGATGTTTAAAAAAAACTCTTAAGCTTTAATTTTTTTACGTCTGAAGGAATATGCAACAACTCAAAAACTTTGGTATGCATATTACATACACAGCAAAAAATTACGTATCAAATTACAGTAAGAAGTACCGGTACTTTGGGTGCATCATCCGCAAAATCCATTTTTACCGTAAAATATTATACAGTAATTGTTACTTATTTGAGGTTTTTCAGTGATTTTACTGTAATTAATACTGTAAAAATTACGGTATGTCAGACTTTTTGTTCCGTAACATGTTCGGATAAAAATGGATTTTACGGAAAAAAGTACCAGCACCCTGAGTGCTGGTATTTTTTATAGTAAATTTTTACAGTGTAGCTAATCTGCTAGGCTGATCCACTAAATTGCGGAATCAAATGTTTTCCACAATTTACAGAGATGTCAACTGCTCCGGATTCTATAAAATATTTTGAAAAACGGTAAAGGACTTTTAGTATTTTAAAGTTTTTTTTTCTTTTAAAAAAAAAGAAAAAAAAACTTTTGCTGCAAATAATTACTATATATTCTTTGCTGAAAGAACTAGAAAAATGTATTTATCTTTTGAGATTTATATTTTGTATAATCTCGCAATTCTTCATTTTATTGAAGTTGTAAGTATATATACAAAGGAACAAGTTGCTACGAAGTCACCTAAGTTTATCACAATTGTTATTTTCCAACTCATTTAACCACCAAAAAAATTTTAAATTAATATTATAAATTATATATTGCCTGATTTAAATGTGTTTAAAAAATTACAAGAAGAGGGTGATTTTTTGATGAATTAAAAGAAATTATATGTAAAAAAAAGTACCAGGATTAAATATTTTGTGAGAATAGCAAGCAGTTAGTATACAAGTACGCATTTGAACTTTTTTTAAAATTGAATATAAATTCTGCTCTTCCTTTAAAAATTTTTAGTTTGCATGTAACCCCGCGGCTGGTTAGTTAAATGTAACTGATTGTTATTTAACTGTTTTACTAAGTAGTAATTGAATCAAAAGTTGGAGTCCTGTTAGAAAAATATAGAAAATTTTCATGGTTTGCCACTCTTTGTAACAAGGACAAATCGTTTTACCTCCCAAATGTTAACACTGAAGATGAGTTTTTGTCTTAATACTTGAATTCAAAATTGCACTAAAGATGAGACATCGAAATAAGTCATGAAATTTTAAAAACAAAATGTTCTACGTCTGATTATTAAGAAAATTTTCTTTGTTAATATTTATACTTAATAAACAAATATTTATTGATTCTTCGAGAAAAATACCAACATTTGAGAGCGAATCAATGATGAATAATAAGCAATCATGCGGGTAAGTAAGCGGAGAACGATTTGTTTTACTAACGCAAATATTTTCTTATTTTTCTGCAAAACTAAATTTATGATGCGAGAAAATTGCCACTTTTCAACTTTAATGCTGTGAAGAAAAAAAATATAATACCCATGATTCCTTAAAATTAAAATGTTTCCTAAAATTAAAACGAAAAAAAAAATGATTTAATTAGGTACTTGCATTTCGAGAAGAATTTCACAAAGTTAGAATATTCATTAAAAACAGAGCCATATCACACACGAAATTTGTTTAAATATAATTTTCTCTCGTCTACGTCTTTGACTTAATTTAAATTTATTATTTGATGTATTTTATTGCAACCGTGATACATTTTTGCTTTGTGTACATGGCAAACTTCGATACATAATTAGTTTGTTTTTTACATGGCTTCATGTCTGTCTTTGTGTTAAGTAAGAAATATATAGCGAAAGAATTGAAATCTTAGTGAAACATTTTTTGTGTAAGAGTATAGAATGTACCACTAAAGAGAATTGATACTTGACGGGCTTGGCTTACTCGAAATAGAATTGAAAGAACAGTTGCAAACGTAAAATAATTGCCACGTTTCAGCAAACAAACAGTATCGAGATAGCCACATTTCGTCATGCGTAGGCATCCAATTTAACCTAACTGAATTGTATATAATCTTATGCAAATCTAATCTGTTGTAATTTACTTTTATAAACCTAAATTAATGAGTTATGTTCTAAGAAAATTTGTTTCAGAGAAAATATATGACACCTCTTAAACTTGCATAGGTTTATGATGCATTTTATAGAATCTTATGTTATGTTTTAATAAATCTTATTTTATGAAACTATATGTAATCCTAAATTTCTTACTGATTTATTTAAATTAGTAGATCACCCCCATTTATAAAGCTTCAACATTAACTAAATCCTATCGATGTGCAATTTAGTTTCCAAATAGAAAAAGAAAAAAGATGACCACAAGCTTCAAAGAGAAAGATGTTTCAAGTATTTTAAAAATAAAAGCTTAAAGGGGGGTGACTAAATGATGAATACTTCGATTCCATTGGGGCGGTTAATTCCAGCCAACTAGACAATAGCTTGCACCGACTGGAGCATTTTGATTCGTCGAAACAGGCACGCGCCGCACACGCGCCGATTGTACCTTTATCTGATTCCCTTCTCCGACAGGTATTATATCCCCAGATATAAAGTGGTTTACACGCATCACAATCTGCTCAACCGTGCTATTGGCAATGTGATTTGTTGTCATTTAGAATCAAATTGTTGAAATTGTTTTTCTTTATCCAATTAATGTTTTTGCTAATAACATTTTAAAACGATAATTTTTCACTTTTGCAAATTTTTAGAAAAATAACAAATCTTATTTTTCTGCAAACGATATTTTAAGAAGGATAAGGATTTTAACATTATTTACTTTGCAGACGACTTCTAGTTTTAAAAATGGATAGGAATTAGTTACTTTTTACTTACATTTTATAACTTTTTAAAGATATCAATAAAACTTTGATTAAAATAAACCCATGCGGCATAATTGGATCTATTAAAAAATATGTTAAAATTAAAAGTTTCATTATTTCCATTTTTTAAATGAACTTAAGTTCACGACACTTACAACCACTACTTAAACCTAACTTTTAGTTATATATGAATAACTACAAAATCGTTTGCATCGAATAAATAGACGATTTATGAACTATTTCAAGGGAAAAATGGAACAGCTTGAGAAAGCAGTGTATAGGTTTTAACTATCTGACATTCTAATAACCGTCATGGTTCAGGAAATGACTCAGTTTTCTACGCATTCTTTTTCGTATGACTCTCATTATGCACTTCCACACTTGAAATCAGAACTATCTCAAGTTTGGAATAATACTTCACACTTGCTGCAAGGCGTTCTTGATGATAGTCCCTTTTCTGATGCCGCAGTTCCTGAATCAACCTCATCCGCTCTAACGACGGATGGTCCACCGGCACCGAAAAAGAAGAGTAAGAGAAGCGGGAATAAGAGCAGCTATAAACATGTACCTCACCGAGAGAAACCTCCTCACCTGGTGGCGAGAAGGAATGCCAGAGAACGAAGGAGGGTTCAAGCCGTCAATACCGCGTTCTCTCGTCTGAGGAAGTGTGTGCCGACTGAAAGCAAAAGCAAACGACTTTCCAAGGTAAGTTCTCTAATAATTCATATCCACTTTAAAATCAGTTCTGTTAACAAACTCTGCATTCATATTTTCGTTGAAATAATTGTTAAGTATTCAACCTAATTTGGTGGAATAATTTGTATCACTCTGTTAATCTTATGCATTTTCAGCCTTATTTTGTTTAAAATTATTTTAAAATAGGAAAAAAGGATGCAATAGTTTATACAAAAGATTCTATTAATGATAGATTTTCATAATCGTTTTCTTGTTTTCCTTTGAGCCTCCATTTTTTTATTTTATTTCTGAACGTTAATTTTATTTTCCATAAAAACTGTCTAGATAGCTTTAATGGATCAAGTTGAAACAAACGTATTATTATTTGGCCACATTTAAGTTTTTATTAGAATATTGGTAACTGTAATTTTTTCCACTGCACGAAAAGCTCTTGTATCATCAGAAATAAGCATACTTATTCCAAGAATAGATAAAATATATTTTGTGGAAACGTTTAATTAAACTGTTTTTATTTCTTTCTATTTGGTGCCTAGAGTGTTTGTATAAATATGGATTACAGAAAGATAGAATTTTTTAAATAGATTTTTCTAAATATGCATTATATTTAAAATTTTTAAACTGAAACATTTTAATAAGCTAAAGATTTCATGTTTTAAGACTGATTTATTTTGTATTTTATAAATATAAATGATTACTTACCTTCATTTATAAATGTGTATGTTTGCAACTGATTTAACTAAAACTAACGAAATTTTTTTAATTTGGGTTATTTAAAAGCAAAATAAAAAGTTTAATGGGATAAAATGCAAAACAAAATTACTACTAATACTAATTATTTCGTATACTATTGTATACAAATTAACTATTTATATTATTTAAATGATATGGAAATAATGGAATTTTAATAACAATTAAGAGTTTAATAATTACTAAAATTGAAAAGGAAATAAACACGAATAACTTTTAGAATCAAACAGAATTATTTTTTTGTTTCTCAGTAGTTTCAATTTCAGTTTCTATGAATGTAGCTTTATTTTCGTGTATTGTGTCGGCTATAAAATTAAAGAATTATTAATCGTATTAAAAAAATGTGTTAAATAATTTATTAACTATAACAATAAAAATGTACTGCTAATTATCAGAGTAATAGTAATAATATAACCATATTCTAATCTAATCATATTCTAATCTAATCATACAATTACATAAATTTTATGCTCTATAAAATTTTAATTATTTAATATTGAAAAAATTATAATGCAAACCAATTGCTTAGTGTTTGTTGTTTTTGCTGTGGAATTCTTATAATTTCTAATTTGGAAGATTTCTTACGTATTTTTGTTAAAAAGTATACAATGCATATTTCTAAAAATATACAATACACATTTTGTCGAATACTTTTTTGCAATAAATATTTATTTCTTCAAGCTATCATTTTTAAACAATTCATAAAAAGACATATAGTTTATGATAGTATCTGAATATAGTTTATATAGTTATACATAGTGTATAGTTTATGATAGACAAGAATCATCCATTTATTACTTTTTTACTGTCAAAATATAACGCAATTTAAAAATATAAAAAATTTATATATTTTCACTAATATATGCATTTTCAGATAAATTAACAGAAACTAAACAATTACTTATGCAACTTCTAAGAGAGGAAAAAAAATAAGAAACGCAGATAATGAATTAAATAACATATTATAAAGAATGTTTCAAAAGGCATGTTTTGAATATAAATGAGATCCTTCTGATTCCGTAAATACTTTCGATATGGGTTTTTTTTCTAAATTAAATGATATCTATAATTATTCAACTATGCAAATCGTGGAAATGAAAGGTTGAAAACCAGACAACATTAGAAAACTGGTTTTTTTTTTCGCTTTAAGATCACATTCGTCAGTTTGTAGTCAATTAAATATTCTAAATCATTTACAGAAATTAAAATAAATGCTTTTCATATTAAGTGTTGATAATTTTGAGGTAGTCTCAAATTAAAAATATGATTGATGTAGTGTAAATATGTACTTCTACTAGAATAACGAGTTCTATTTGCAGTTCCATAGACAAGAAAAACTATGAACAAATTTGAGTTATCTTTTTTCTTTTCTCTTTTTTCAATAAAAAAAAGATAACTGTTAAGGATTTGTTGTTTTATAATTTATTTTTAAAAAAATTCTTCTGCAAAAAAAAATATTTTCGTTTGCAGTCATTTTAGTTATATTTATAAATTACTTTTAATTATCATTATTATTTAAAGCTTGGGCAAAACATATTTAGTTACATAATGTTAAAATGCACAGTAGACCCTTTTCCAAACGATGTTGGAAAAGTAAACTAGTGATTTTAATTGAGTTATATTTTAATTCTAAATATAAATTTAGTGCAGACAACATGTATCGTTTTAAAAACTGAATTATATTGAGGAACTTTACATTTTGCGCATAGCTCGCAATGCGTGTTTAGAAAATACAGCAGCTCAAAATGTACATTCGAGGAAATGCGTGATTTAGAAAATAAACATAGCTCAGTATAAAACTGGTCATAGCACAAGAAGCACCGTTATTACGAACCAAAACTTTTAACACCTACGTTTGCCTTTAAAGCACAGACCAAACTAATATAAAAATTCGTCGATTTTTTTTCAACACCACAGCTGATAAATTTTTTCTTGAAATACAACTGTTATAACAATAGTTTAAAAAAATAGTTTTAAATCCTTTGTTTATTTTCTTAAACGCTCATTTTGAACTATTTGTATTTTTTTTACGTTCATGACGATTTTCACAAACACGCATTTTGAGCTTTGTGCTTTTTTTCTAATGTGCATTTCAGACTATTACCTTTTTCATAAACACGCATTTTGAGCTATAAAAGGTTTTTCTAATGTGGATTTCAAGCTAACGCCTTTTTCATAAACACGTTAGTTAAGCTATGTGTATTTTTTCTAACGTGCATTTCAAGCTATGGCCATTTTCATAAACACGCATTTCGAACTACGTGCCTTTTTTATAATGTGCATTTCAAGCAATGACCATTTTCATAAACGCACATTTTGAGCTATATACATTTTTTCTAGTGTGCATTTCAAGCAATCACCTTTTTCATAAACACGTTAGTTGAGCTATGTGCATCTTTTCTAATGTGCATTTGCATTTCAAGCTACGGCTACTTTCATAAACACGCATTTTGAGCTTCATGCCTTTTTTTAATGCGTATGTCTATTTTCTCGATTTCGGAATTTGAGTTCTGTCTATTTTTCAAACGCGTGTTTTAATCTATTCCCATTTTACTATTTCCCATAATCTATTCCCATTTTCCCCGAAATTTATGCTATGAAATTATGCCTTCAAGATAAATGTGTAAGGCTTTGTTTTTAACCATACATTTATTTTTCAATGCGGTAAATATCATTTTGTTACCTTGACTTCCCTTAATGTGGTTTTTGTTGTGCTTTACGCTTAGACAGTAGTTTTTTTCTTCCTTACAATAGCTTGACTTTTCAATTCTTTGAGAAGAAGTGCCACATCTTGAAAAAGATAAGGATATTAAAAAATATTTTCCTTGGGCTTACATTACCTGGTATTTTACAAGGTTTTCTTTATTCTAAAGCATCATTGATTTCAGAAAAAATAATCTCTCAGAGCAACATCAAGACACTTCTTCAACAAAATCTTTTCCTGACATTGGCGATGTTTAATATTTATTTTTAATTCTTGAACTTTATACTAAGAAGAAAGAATATGGTCAAAATTACCGGAATATAATAAAATTTACCGTGTTTCTGACTCTATGGGAAATCCAAAAAGCTCGGTAAGGCTTTGGTAATTTTTACTAAGGTTCTTTGGTAATAATTTTGGTAAAATTAAAAAAAAGTTATCGGTTTTTTATCTATGATAAAATTTGGTAAATGTGTTGAAATTTGGTAATTTTATGAAGGTACCTAAGAGCATGGCATAACCATTTATTCCGTTAAATTTACCAAATGAATGTTTTAAATATCGCATATTTTGGTTTTTAATAAAAATTTTTTTTAATTCCAGAAGTGTTGTTATTACGCAGTTCGGTGATTTTACCATTTTTTTTTCCTCCGTGTAAATATGTGCCCAGATTTTAAACATTAAAATTATTTATTTAATTTTCTAAAAGAAATAGCCGATTTGAATATGCAACGGATCTTTGTAAAAGAAGCTTTTAAGGTTGTTCGAAAGTAAGACTAATTTGCCAAAATTTCTGTAATAATCGCCGAAAATAACTTAATCCCTACTTAAAAAAAACATTTATTTCCAGCTATTCTAATCATGACAGTGTATTTAACTAAATATTAAGCAAAAATTCTCTTTTTACATATCACCGAAAGTTTTAAGTTCTTATTATAAAACTAAGCTGAAAATCATTTAAAATCTAAATTATTATGAGACTTTTTTATTAAAGCAAGAAAACTTTTGAAAATAAATAACAAAAAAAAAAAATTAATTTACATAAATTGCATTTTTTCCTGATTTTAGATACCCTGATGTTTGATTGCAAAAGAACCAAGGTGCTACATAACATTTTAACTGCCCCTTATGTTTGTTTAGTTATTACACGGGGAAGTAAATTTTGGTAAAATTACCGTACTGTATGGAAAAAAAATATTTCTGGTAAAAAACACATAATTCTGGTAATGAAACCAAAATATATGTTATTTAAACCATTCATTTCGTAATTGCTTCGTTCATATGGTAATGGTTTTAACGGAAATTCATGGTTTTCAAATTTTAGCTCTTTTTTCTACACATTAAGTAAAATTTAAATGCAAATTTAACCGGTCAAATGTTTTTTTTTTATGTCATGCTTTGAGATATCACATAAAATTTCTAAATTATTCTACAATTACCAAATTTTAACGCCTATAGTAAAACAATATTTTGCTGTTAATTTTTTCAAAATCCAAAACAAAGCACTTTGGTAAAAAATATCATGCTTTTTAGTGTTATCATGGAACCATGAGCACGGTAATTTTTACTATATTTTGGTAAATTCGACCACTCTTTATTTTCTAAATGTACTTAGAGTAGAGTAGTTATATTTGTGTAAATATTTTTCACTTGCATTATCAATGCTAACGACGAAGGCAATGGTGAAATGATAGCTGTCTAATTTATTAAGTTTATTAATGCAGCGTTAATTTATTGTTATTCAAGTTTCTGGGATTTGTTCCCCATTAAAGAAATTTATGCAATCTCTTCGTTACCTGATAAAAAAAATTTAAAAAAATGAAAAAAAAAATTCTTTTTGATCAATACTTCAGAAAAGTATTTTGTGTTTCATCAACAATGAAAATGTAAAACTTATTACTTAAAATACGTGGCAGGGTTAAGTGAATGAATAAGATCTTCCTCTGTATTTTGTTGAATACCCTTTCTCTTCTGCCCTCGTGTAGTTAGATAATTTCTGAATTTTTTTGAAGAAAAATTCGTGTTTGCAAATGTTGTGATTCGCAATTCGATTAGACACTTCATATAGGCAGATTTAAAACCAAACTATCACTGTTAGTTTTCATTCACATCCACATAATCTTTTTAATAAGAAAAAGCTGAACATTTCCTAAAGCGATAAAAACTCAAGCATTAATTAAGTTAATTATTTGAGAGTTAATATACAACTATACGAGCGTCTAAGATTTGTTTATCAACATATTTATTCCCGAAAAGTATGACGCATATTATCAAGAAATATCGATAAAAATGTTCTTATTTATTATTATTACAAATGTTTATTTTATTTAGATTACTAGTTTTTTTTAATAAGTTGCAGAGTACATCTTGTTAAATACCTTTTTTCTTTTGTATTCATATTGCGAATAAAAGTATGGTCAAAACTACCAGGATATGGTAAATTTTAACGTGCTTTTGGTTATATATGAATACCGAAAAGCTTTGTAATTTTTACCAATACGCTTTAGTAATTATTTTGGAAAAATTAACAATAAAATATGGTTTTATAATACGCGATAAAATTTGATAATTTCATCATGATACTTTAGAGCATGACATAAAAACGACTTGTTCGGTGATGTTTACATTTCGTATTTGCATTTTTTACTAAATGTGAAGTAATAAGAACGAAAATTTTGAAAACCAGAATTTTTGATGAACCATTATCATATGAACTGAAGAACTACCAAATGAATGGTTTAAATAACGTACATTTTGGTTTTGTTAACTGGAATTATGGTTCTTTTTTTACCAGAAATGTCATTACAATACAGTACGGTAATTTTTCTAGAATTTTTTTCTCTGTGTACGATCTTCTCTGAGTGCAACTTCATAAAAACTTTATTTACGCGGTTTTAAAGTTTTAACTATCACAATTTATTTTATATTTTCAAATATAGAAATTATCTCCTTTAAAACGAACTTAGAAATCTAATTGAAATTTCACAGCTAGGAAAAAAAAAAGTGTTAATATTTTGTAATAAAGCTTTAACGATTTTTTTTCCTCAAAGAATTTTAAGTCTTTAATACATACGTGTGTTCATTTTGTCCTAAAATAAAGCAAGTGCTACAAAAAATATATCTTTATTAACATTTCTATTACAGAAAAATCGCAAATCAACAAATGTCTATGAAAATTCATAACCCATTACTGACGGGCTAATATAAATGAGGGAGATATTTCTTTATATCTTGTTGTTGAATATCTTGTTTCTTCTGTCTTCATGGCAGTAGCCTAATTTGTGAATTTTTTGAAGGTCAAGACCCTGCACCGAGCTATCGAGTATATTCAGATGCTGCAAGAAATGCTTACCAAGGCCGACGAAGACATAGGGAACGACGAACTTTCACTCAGGGCTGCTGTGCAGGCTGATTCACTCAATAAAGAAAATGAACTGCATCAGCGATGGTTGCAGTTACCTTCTGTAAGATATGAATAATTTCTGAAATTATTGCACTGTTAGAAATTTTTCGGTAAAAACGGTCAAATAGCAATTTATGTAATTGTTATTTTACTATATTCAACCGAAAAAGTCAAATAACCGTAAAAAAATGATATTCAAACTGACAAAAATTGTTTATTGATTGTTTTTACCTAATACGGTTTAACAACAAGAACTCTATCCTAACTGGATCCGCATTATGAAACCCTTTTGTTTTCGTGCAACTGGGTACATACTGTAACTGAGAGGGCTAATCGGTCAATCTCACAGCAGGAGTTCAACAAGTACAATATTTCTTCAATCGCAGCATGCACAATATTTCTTCCATTCCTTCAATGCAGGAAGTTTTTCCAGTGTTCCAGCATTTTTTAATTCGTGACCTTGGACTTTTTGAATACTAAGCTATCATTCACAGATGAATGGCGCAGCACCCAAAGAGCTCGAATGTTCGTTTAAATTTAATTCGTTAAATGTAAATGGTTACAAAACCGTATTCAAGGATTCTTAATCGTAACACTAGTAAATAATGTTCTTAACCATAAATGTATGGTTAATCGTATGGCCACACTGCTGCCGGCAATTTAACGGTAATTTCAAAGTGAAAGTTCTTTATTTTAGGATAAATTTATTATTTAAGCTTGATACATATTTGTATCCTCGCTTCATGAAAATTTCGCTCCTAAGTTTGTGAGATGCTATCGACATTCAACAATATTAATTTATTAATTAATTATAAATACATTTTTCTCTTTAAGAACGTTCTCTAAATGAATAATTATTCATTGACTTGTGATTATTTAAGAAACAAACCTCAAAAACATTTATGTTTAACGTCAACGAAAATTTCTAGTCCGTTGATTCATTTTTAATGTTTATACCTACACCTACAGCGTCATCTTCTAATTTAATAGCAAATTCATTTTAGTTATCTTTTAAAATTAATTTTGCCCTTATTAGTTTCGAATTTGATATACAAACTCCACTAAGTAAAGCATCGTAACTGAGTCAAGAAATTCATTTTTAAAATACTCATCTCATTCACTTAGAATTCAATCACAATGAGTAAAATTTCTCCCGTAGTATGGCGTCCCCGTAAGGTACATCACCAGGATAAAAATTGCATTGGAACTCTTGTCCGGAATTGTCGTTATTTCCTCGAAAAACATTTCGTAAGCACTATTTACACTAAAACGTTTTTGTGATTCTGTTATTCTTAAAGTACAAAATTTGCCCAATGTCGACATCGTCAGAGGAACAAAAACATACTCTGTTTTGTGTACCTCAGAATTTTTTTTAAAAATATTATAGTTTCTTACTTATTTCACGACTGTAGAGTATGAGCATGCGTTGATATTGTGTCACCATCAGTACATGCGCTAAATATTGACATTTCCTAATGTAATTGAGAAATATTTTTAATTAATAATGGATTTTATCTAAAATTCACCATCTGTGCTTGCTGACTACATCGACATTGACTGATGCAAAAAAGAAATATTGATGTATAGCAATAACTTTTATTCCAATTTTAGCATCAGTGTATGCTGATTACATCGGCAATTGCAGATGTAAATGAGCAATACTAATATTTCCTAAAAATAAGAGATACAACAAACATCCAACAAAACGTCTTTTTGTGCTGTCAACATTAATCGGACAATGTCCTGCAATGTAACAAATCATTGCATCTCTCTGAAATTCGAAATTGTATTAAAAATAAATCCACACTCGGAGGTAAACTGTCTATGTTGGTTGTAAAATGAAAATTCCACGAAAAAAAAATGTTTTATATATTTTGGTAACCACAATTTATTAAAATTACATGCTACAGATTGTTTTCATGTGCAAATTAACGAACTCTGCTTTAAGAACACGTCGATGAGAAAAAGTAGCTACCTTTTAAAGTTTCAAAGTAACATATCAATGCATCGCTCTGAAATTCGAAATTGTATTCAAGACAAATCCACACTCACCAGAGGTAAACTATCTATGTTGGTTGCAAAACGAAAATTCCACGAAAAAAACAAAACATTTTATATATTTTGGTAACCACAAATTATTAAAATTACATACTGCAGATTGTTTTCATGTGCAAATTAACGAACTCTGTTTTTAAGAACTCGTTTATCAGAAAAAGTAGCTACCTTTTAAAGTTTTTATCTCACATAATCAGAGTAAAAGAATGCTACAGCAATGACCTGAGGAACCAGTTCGGGACATTCGCCACCTGTTGCGCGTGCCGTGAGTATGTCGCTCGCGATCTTCAATCACGACAACACCGCACACTTTCTAATAAAGATACCCTTTTATACTTCGGTTTGTTTTTAAATAGAATAAGAAAGAAAAAAATCTCTAATTTAACAATCAACGCTTGTGAATGCCACGGCTGACTGCAAATCAAAGAAAAAAAAATTGGCGTGCTTCAGTCGAAAACCACAGTTTTGTGGTTTTTAGCGAAAGCGATCACGATAACCATGTGTTCATTTCTTTATTATCTTTTCTTTTTCAAGATTTGTGATCTGGGTACCAAGGTGATTTGATGGTCATTTCTAATTGCTAGACAACAGTTTTTCATGCAGCAAGAAAAAAGTTGCTATATCATAATTATGGCATGCCGGTGCGGGTTCTTCGAAGAAAAAAACCCTTTCGTGTTTATGTATGTATTTGTAAACAAAATGATTCTTCACAGTTAGAATTTTCATTATGAAAATACGGTAAAATAACCGCCAGCAGTCTGTTCAACCGATTAACCATAAAGTTTACGGTTAGGAATTTTTTTTTTTTTTTTACCTTTACGTTTTTGAAACCCTTTACAGCTGGTATGGGTAAAAAAAATGAATATAAAACTAACCATGTAACCATAAACAATTAGCATTGTTTATAAGTCATAAAAATAGAACTTAAACGTACATTGGAGCTATGGGCCTTTTATGCAAGAATTATAGTTTCGTATTCTAATAGTCCAGGGTCTTCGATTGAAGAATGCAGGAAACTCTTCACGTCTTGATGGAAAGATAGAAATATTGTAGTATCAACGCTGAGATTCGAACCCATGTTCAACCGGTCGTGATAATTACCGATTAGGCCTCTCAGCCAGAGCATGTGCCTAGCTGCACGGAACAAAAAGGGTTTTTAAGGTAGGCCTAGTTGGTGGGGATTGAATTCTGGTTGTTTCACCGTATTGAAAAAAAAAAATGAATAAACTTTTTTTTTCTCACACTTTATAGTTTGAATATCATCTTTTTTTTTATGGTTATTCGACTTTCTTGATTAAATATGATCGAATAACAATTAAATACATTGCTATTTAATCATTTTTCCGAGAAATTTCTAACAGTGTTTTATTGAACACTTAACGAAGTATTTTTCCTTTCTGCGTGTTTAGAATTATTAGAAGTATTTAATTTTACATGAAAAAGGAGAATCTGGGATCATAGGTGATTTTGTAGCAATAATGAGATTAATAAATGCCATAACATTACTCAAAGGTTTTTGTAAAAATTTGCCGGTACGATGCATAAAAAAGCATTAGCATATATGGCACACATGCGAAAAAAGTTTATCTATAGAGTATTAGAGCTTATACTGGAAACCATAATATCGTTTAAATTTTCAGAAACTTTAATTAGCTGAATTCAACTATACTGTGACTCTTTTGAACTATAATAAAACGATGATATGGTTCAACCTAAACCGAAACCGTTCAATTTAGCACCTTGTTGAGATTGCAGCAAATTTGCACCTTGTTATGGTTCAAGGTACCAACATTATGGATCAGCATTAAACCGATTTATCTGGGAGTGCGGTGGTAGGAAACACTGAGAAATTTCCCCATAGACTTTCGGAAACAATAAATTATTGTTTTTTTTAAAGAAAAAATATTAATGATCAAAAAATAAAAATATATGAAATCAAAAAATATGAAATCAAAATATATTAAATAAAGATTTTCAAATCAGCTTATAAATAACTTAAAGAAAACCGTGGTTCAAATGGTACCGAGTCTCCTAAGGAACATAAAATTATTTCCATTTCATTTAATGTGATGTATTTCTCTCCGTTTGTACGACTTTCCATAGACGAGAGTTTAACCGGGAGTTGAGAAACGTCGCATGAAGCAGCACCAATACTACGCAAGAAATTATATTTTATTTTGATATTTAAATACTACAACTTAAATTATCATCTTTAAATACAATTAAAATTATTAAAACGAAGCAATCTAAAATGCAAACAATCAACGTACAACCCTGCCCCTCTCTACGGGCCATGGAAAAATTATCAAACGTTGACCGATCAGCGGCGTTAATAAGGTTAAGCAGCACTGATTTAAAGTATAGTCTGCACTAATTACCTCTCACCCCTAATGAGGTGACCCAGGTTCGATCCCAGCATCGGTGGGCAGATTCGAATTCTGCTACCGGCTCTCACCGACCACAGTGCTGACATAAAATATCCTCAGTGGAAGACGGATCTTGAGCCCTCTTGCCCTTGGGTTTGAGCCCTCTTGCCGTCAGGCTAACCGTGGGAGGTCTTTTGTGTTTTTCCACCTCATGTAACCTCAAAAAGTTCTCCTCGAAGGCAAATTTCTCGCAATACTAGATCAATGAGTTCCCTTGTCTTTTGGATTGGGTTCAAAATTACAACGCTATGGAGTTGAATATTAGTAAACTCAAAATTGGGTCGGCTGTAAAGCATAAATTGAAATTGATTAGTATGTTTAAGGTTAGCCCTTTGAATCATTAAGTTATTCCAAAAAAGCCAATTTTCTGATCAAAAGTTATTGAGGGGTTTTATTCTTTATTTTACCCACAATCTATACTATTATAAAAAAAGTTTTTTTTTTCTCGATATCGCTACTAAAGTCTTCGATAGTTTTTAAAATAAAAAAAAATCTCATCGGAAATTTTCGGCACCAATACTAACTTTTAAATCTTCACCAATCATCATTAACATTCAACTCGCGTGACTTCAATACGGGACTTAAACCACCAACATATTAAAAAAAATTCAGTTCGTGATTAAATTTCAGCCCTTAAACCGCTTAAAACAAAAGCAAGGGGAATAAAAACCACGTGAGAAAGGCTGTCAAAGTACGGGTGATTACCCAAGAGGGGGTAGTACCCCCAATCTGTACTCTACAACCGAAAATCTCAACCTCTGATGAGCACTTGACGATTTTATTTTTATTACGTGGCCATCCTCCTCCCCTGATCTCTCACCTGCGGTTTTGTGTGACGTCACAGGGCTAGTCGCGTGCACACACACCGGGCGCCAGGTGAGAGCTGTCAATTGGTGATGGGGGTCTTTCGATTATTTTGTGTGTGTGTGCATGTTGGTGAAGTGTTTTAAGTTGACTCGTTTAAAGGAAGAAGTTTTGCCAGCCCCCTCTCCTCCGAAATAAAAACATACTCGAAAGAAAAAAAACTCCCCAACTTAAGATTTTTTTTTGTTTTTACCAGATAAATGATTTAACTCCCTTTACTATAGGGGAAAAATTCATTTTAGGGGATATAAAGCCTCTGATGCGAATTTTTTTTTGTGAGTGAGATTTAAGGGGTTTCGAGCATTTTATGTGGTTGAATTGCTAGTGGCAAACTGAAGATTTTTATAAAATAAATTTTATAAAAAAATTTATAAATTAAGATTTTTATGAATGATTTATTTCTATCCTCTATATTCTCTAAGTTGTTTTCTACAAACCAATATCATTAACTTATTTTTATAAATTTTAAATATTTAAATATGCAGGCGGTCCTGTTTTGAGATATTAACAAAAAGTTAGTATTTTACAAATAAAAATGTGATAAATACAGTGATTAAATAATGAATTCAATAATAAATTATAATTATTATTGCATTTATTATGAAAATTAATTATTATTTGAAAATAATTATAAAAATAAATATTAAAGAATAATAATTGCTGTGTAAATTTTTAATTTCATTACGAAATATAATAATAATAATAATCATAAAACAAATTATATTTAGTGAAGAAAAATGAGAATGAATAATAATAAAAAAAAATTATGGGTAAAGTTATAACTTTGTTACGAAATATAATGATAAATATTATTTAAACTACATATAATGAGGTATTAGCAGAAAGTTGGTATTATGCAAATAATGAATGTTATTAAAACAATAATTAAAAAATAGTAAATAATAATTATTACTGTGCGTAGTAAAAATTTTGTTATGAATCTTTATTATTATTTAAGAAATATTTATAATAACGACTATTATAGTGGAATAGTAATTAAAAAATAATAATTACTGTGTAAAGTTATAATTTTATTACGAAATATAATAATAATAATTATATAAGAAATATATTTAGTAAAGAAAAAGAAAAATGAATAATGATTAAAGAAAATAATAATGTATAAAGTTAAAAATTTGTAACGAAATATAACATAATTGCTATTTATAAAATAATTATAATGAAAGTAAAGGAAGAATTGTAATTAAAAAATTATAATTATTACATAAATCTCTAACATTTTTTGTATGAAAAATAATAATTACTGGTTTATTTTATTACAGAGTTGGGATGACACGAATCAAAACAGCTGCCTATCTTTCTATGATGATTTCTCTGATGCATTGCAGAGTTAAATGTTTCTTTTGAACAGAAGAACAATTTTGAACTTTAATCTTTTCTTGAACATATATTATATTGATATATGAATAAGCAAATCGGAAAAGACTCTGATGATTTTCGGCGAACTGTTTACTTTTGTGACTTTTGAGGGACTTTGACTGAATCATATTTGAACTTTTTGCACTGAGATGTTTTACTAACAACCTCGTATTGTTTTTTTAATAGCATTATATTTAATGCATTTTGACTTTATTTCAACATCTTAGAGACAGAAAAACGGGTCATATTTACACTATGTACATTTTTATTCTATTGTCAAAAAATTTTAAAAATTACCCAATCATATAATAAATCAATCAATGAATCAATATGTATGTAAGCCAATCATAAAGTAACATGAGCTAATACCTAACCAACTGTCGAGCCTACCGTTCGAGAAAATACAATAAAATTTTGTGTAAAGGTATTATAAGGTGCGTGTTCAAGAGTTATTAGAAACGAGTATTTAGCTCTTCTGCTTATAGTTACAAAATTTTGAAATTTTTAAATAAAAAGAAACCTCACCATAATAATAATAATAATAATACAATAATAATAATAACAACTAAACTCAAAATCAGCTAATAGAAAGAAGAAGAAAGCACAATAATTTAAATGCTGCCATTTTACTCTCTTCATCGTCGTTTAGCGTCGCTACTACTCGTGCTAAAACAATTGTTTTAACTCCGTTTTAATTTTTCATTGTGAGAATCATGTTTGCGAAGAAGCAAGTGTTTCCCTTTGAAAATTTGAAAATTTTGAATCGACGCACAGAACTTTTAATATCTTTATGCAAAATTCTCATAACACAACAACCTGATATCAGAATTCAAGGAGTGAATTTGAAGTACTATCTTCATAAATTCAAATTTGTCTGTGATCTCAACGTAGAGAATATTATTGAACAAAATTTAGCTTAATCTTACATGCATGTAGAAAAATTTGCAAATGTAAGGTACATACATAAAAACTTTATGTATCTTAAAAAGCAAAATTTTTAAAAGTAATGATACTAAAAAAATAGAATAAATCCCTATACAGTTAAGCCTGTAATTAAGTAACCGAAGAAAAAAATCTTTACTGTTTATTCTTTGAGGTGTTCTCTTAATTCAATTTTTTTTATTTTTTACTTTTTTCTGGAAATAAGTTAAGAGATTAAACCGAAAAAAAAACGTGACGTACAATAGTTTCAATGGTATACCAGCAAGTGGCGTAGTGTGGGTTTCTTGATTCTGATTGGTTGTTAAAACGTGGCATTTATTTACGTTAGCAACTGTTCTTTCCATTCTATTTCGAGTATGCCTATTGAGATTTTTTTTTAAGGAGTCTTAAGCAATTTTCCCCCTATTTGTTTGTTCACATTTCAAAAGTTAAAAGAAAACTTTGCGGCAAAATTATCTACTGATGAGGCTGTAATAATCTGCAGCGCCCTCTGCCGTGATGGAGTACCAACTTCTAACCAAGTAACTATTGAAGCTGATTACAAAAATATTCAGGGAAATTTTCTTCCAACCAGGTTATGGTTTTACCCTTTAATCATTCAGAGATAGTTACTGTAGTAATTCATATCAGTATATCTTTTTTGCAACTTATCATTAACATTGTCCCTTCGTTTAAAGTTCATTATAAAAGATTGAATAAGCATGCAAATGATGAGTATGAACTGTTACTTAATATTTTAGAAAACTATAAATAATCACCGTTTTTCAAACATGGTGTTGTTTGAGAACTAATATAATCTTGAATAGAATAATTGTATCCGATAATGAATTTGAATACTGAATTCGATATTAATTTACTGACCAGGAAGTGTACAAAAAGTACAATATATCGGGGAAATATTATTTGTAATTAAAAATGTGTTATGTATCTAGTCTAGGTATGATAATTAGTGTTTGTACAGTTCAAAAACTTTTGCCTCAGTGTAGCGTTACATCAAATACGAATTGTATTTAGAAACGAATGATTTGGAATTTATACGATTGTGAAGTGCTTTGCATTCTAAGAATACATATCAAACTTTAATAAGAGAATTTTGTAAATTTAATTGCTTAAATCAGTGTTATGTAAAGTAAATCGAAACTTTAATCTTAATCGAAATATTAATATATAATTCCTGCAATCATTTTTTATAATTTTATTTGAGTACATAGATTTTAAGAGAGCACACTAATTAATAATTTTAATAAATTGCTGAGTAAAAATACAATTGTGCTTAATAAATTCTTTTTTTAAATATAATTATTTAAATATAATCTTATTAATTTAGTTCCTATTCTATTTTATCATCGAATTTCATATTGCTCTTAAGTCTTAAAGAACAGAAGTAAATGACAAAAGGTGCATTAAACAATTGCAGTTCAAAGCTCCATTTTTATCCTAATAATTCCATGTATGTATGCATGGTGTTCCGTAATCACTGCCTTTAATATAAAGTTTGAGAATACTTATTAAAAATGATGTAAAAGAAATATATACAACAGGTATTGCAATTTCCTATTCAAGCAAAAAAGGAACAGAAACACAGTCGAATCACTATAGAGGAAATTGGAAAGAAACGCATCAGAACCCGTTCGAATATTGGAAAAAAGATGGAGGAGTTAAAAGATGATTATCAGAAACTTTTTTCAAATTTCCACCAGAAATCAAACAGGTTTTGATGTTGTCAGTAACGCTTTCTTCAATATTGATTCGTCAGACGCCGATGTTGTTTTTATTATGCAATGCAATTAGGATATATTAAGGGTTGTATATATTAAGAATGATTCGGAACATCCTGTATATTAGGTTGGAAAATTAAATGAAGACAGAGCAAATACAATAGCTGCTACCCAATAAAAATCAAGTTTAATATATTTTTTCATTTTATTATCATCTTTATCTTAGTGGTTTAGAGTATAATTCATTATTGTGCACGAAAAATAGTTATTTCACCAAGAATTTTATCGCTGACCGCTGCAATGATGCACAAACTCACGCACAAATATTTAGTTGGAGCGCCACTGCATAGCATAGTGCTTATGAAGAAGTTTACACAAAAAGCATTGATTGATGAAATATTTTGCCTGATTCTGTTATGTTTGATTCTAGATAAACTTTCTGTGTGAATGCTGTTGTGTAATTGAAATAAATTCCAATAAAATCTTTAAAAACCATTGTTGCGTTATTTTAATTTAAAAATACGTACGTTATTTTAATTTAAAAAGGTGTACATATATTAAAAATATGTACACTTTCTGAACTATAATCAATCGCGAGGAAATTGATGAAAAAATAGTAATTTTTATTATTTTACGTTGCTTCCGTGATCACTGCTTTTACTGTGTAATTAAAGAATCTTTGTCAAAATGAAGTAAAAAAAAGAAAATACACATTAAGGGACTCAAATTAGTATTACAGTGAAAAAAAGAAAAAGGAAAAAAAAAAGACTGAAAGTTTAATATTTTAGAAAAATCTTAAACTGTGTTAAAATTTGTATTTTAAACTTATCATTTTTCTTAAAAGACAAGAACGTAGAAATATATAACTTATATTTTGACTGGAATGGCTTAAATTTCACACTTTCACATCATTTCTGTAAATTATTTCATTCCCTGAACAACATTTTAATGTGTCTTATTTCATTCTGGAACAAAATTTTCTATTGGAAATTGGAGAATAGTTCAAAATATCCGACGTTTATAGAACAATTTACTGAAATAAAATAAAAAACGCTTTTTCTCTCATTTTAAAGTACGTCATTTTCTTGTTTACACTGTATTTTACAGAAATGATTATCAAATTGTGCAAATTTTTAAAGTTAAATTTATCATATTTCTCACAAAAAAGCGAGAGAGAATCATATTATAATATATTACACAATTTACAAACCATCTCTGCAAGTTTTCAAACAGTGTTCAAATATTACCTATTTTCTTCAGAAATAATTAAATTCATTACCTTAATCCTAACAATTGAATTTATTATTTTATTCACTATAATATTAATTCATAATTTTAATCACTAACAAAGTTTAATTCTGAAAGTTACGAAATAATACCTAAATCTTCTCCCCGCCTTAAAGTTTATAAAATATATAAAATTGATTTATAAAATTATTAACCAATATGAATGAAATAAAAACGCTTCATCTTTCCCCCACTTTAAAATATTATTTTAGAAAATAATGCATTAATAATATTCAGGCACTTTTTTGATATCACCATGTTTACAGAAATAGTAAATTTTAGTAAAACTTATCAAAAATCAATTTTTTTTTATTTAAATTGAGAAATGCATTGAAATATACTAAAATGTTAACAAATAATTTCTGTAAAATAATTACTTTACCCAAACAACGTTCTAATTTGACTTATTTTATTCAGTAACAAAATTTAAAATCGAAACAACTAAAACAATATAGAAAAAAAGGTTTTTAATGCAGGGCTCGAAAAACCACCCGTCCGCCCGTCCTCGGCGGTCAAAAATTCCCTGCGGAGAACAAATATCTCGAATCCGACGTCCGCGCGGACGGCCATTTTTCCATTAATATTCGTGATACATTTTCAATTTTTGTTATCTTACAAGAGTCTAGCTCCTCACTTTTAAAATGACCCTCTAATCTTGAAATACAGCAACATACTGCACTTGGTGGAATTGATGTTTTCTCTGTCAGGGAGTACTGCAGTGGTTGAAAGAGGCTTTTCAGCAATGAGCTTACAAAAAAACACATTACGTACTGGTCTTAAACAAGAAGCGTTAAACGCAATTATGAACATCCACCTAAATGGAAAACCCCTTTCAGATTTCTGTGCAGAAATCTCTGTAAATCAGTGGCTTGATTGTGGAACTGGCAAACGTCCTATTTGTTTCATTTAAAAAACGAAGTACCCTCGGATAAATTGATATTCCAGATAACTTGACCTTTGTAATTTAAATTATTTCATAAAAGAAATAAATTATTTCATAAAAGAAATACTAGGTTTTACTATTAGTAACCTAGTATTTGTAATCCTAATAACTACTAATTCATTGTGCAATTCATATAAATGTTCGTAATAAATAAGAGAAAATTATATTTTTATTTATTTAGAAGCTACGGGTTAGTTTCAAAGGAGGACGGGTACATTGTTGGACAAGCCGTCCTCGGGGACGGGTAAAATTTCTGACTTTCTTCGAGCCCTGTCTTAATGAAATGTTGGCTTAAATAAATAGAATAAAAGTACCTTTTTTCACTTTCAATTTTTTATTATTTTTAAAAAATAATTATATATTATTGTATCTTTTTTGGTTACCCCATATTTTACAGAAATAGTAAATTGTATAAAATTTTACAAAACCGGTTCCTAAAGTGTTATCTTTTTTTCCCATGCAACCACGTGAAAAAAAGTGCTTAGTTTTTTATTTGTATGATGAATTAGTCCGAAAAATAAACATTTAATATGATAAAACTTATATTTTTGTGGATAAAAAAACTATTTTTTTGAAAGTATATTACCCCATATATTAATACCCAGTTTTATCAACTAAGTCGTATAAAATTAGATATAAATTGAAAAAAGAATTTTTTTTCCTATTGAAATATATATTTATAGCATTAAATTAATAAAGAGACTTTTCTACAAGGAGTAACATTCAAGGGTTAAAAATTCTGCATTAATTTAAAATTATTGCATTTGTAATATTTTATTTTATAACCGTCGTTGAACAGCCGATGAAATGTTGGGCCGTTTAACGAAGTCAATCCAGAAAGAAAAAGCATTTAACCAATGGGCAACCAGTGATCAAAGTACTGTGATCACAACTTTTATTTAATATTTAAGAATAATACAGTCAAGAATATGCAGATCCTCGTATGTGGTACGTATAGCGAAATTTATGACAGCCTTTAATAGTCAATGAAATATCATAGCATTATGAGTATTTAATTTTTTTTTTTGTATATATATTTAGATGGTGAAGTACAAGATTCTTTTCTAAATTTAATTTTGTTTAGTTTATGCGTGGTTGTCAAATAAATCTTCTTTTTTTTAATAAAAAGAACTGTTTTTTTTAATATAACTTGATTCGTTACACTGCATCGCCATTAAATTTCAAAACTTATCCCAAAGCTTAAAGCAACATGCAATGGAACCTAACTTTTTAACAAAATAGGAGTAATGTTTCTCACAAGTAAAGAACTAAATTCCGATGATGCAAATGATTACCAATAACACATACAGTTACGTAACAAATCCATCACGACTAAATATTTCAAAGTTGAAATTTTCTTATCCAAATTACTCCCCTTCAATTAAGAATACACACTTCAGTGTAGTCGCTGTGCACGCGCGCAATTCTAAAATTCTCAATTAAGGGGAACTTCAGGGTATTTGATGGCTCAATCCATGCGTGGTGAACACTTCTGTGGGTCTTAGGTGACTTAAATCGGAGTTTTCGTATCGACTTCTAACTGACCCAATTAACACCTTCACAGATTGAACCCGGAAAAAAGAATATTGATAGATATCGTTTAGGAGGGTAAATGTAAGTGAATTTATCGTGATCTATTGTCAGAGAGATATCTGCAAATGTTGTAATTACGATATCAAATGACCCTCAAAACGGAAAAAGTAATTTCGTAATCTTTTTTGCTTTCCCTGCCATATTGATCATTTTTTTTTTAAAAGTAATTATTAAGGTCTGCATTTCGATGACATCTGTATTTTTAGACATCTTATTTTGAAATTCGATTTTTTTGGGGAGGGGGGTGCTTTGAAAAATTTGGTGTGTTTTTCGAAATTTTAGGGTAATTTTTTCTTCTAATTTTTTTTTATATTTTGAAATTCTTTTGGAATTAATCATTTTATTTTTGCTTTTTTGCATTTTACAATATTAATGTTCATACGCAAGTTGTTTTCAAAATTCATTCATTCACAAAAATTTTCAAATTGCCAATTTTTGTTCGTTTAAATTTTTTTTTCTATTGAAAATAATGTAACTTTATCTGATTTTTCTATGTAAAGTGGTGTACACGAAAAAATAAATAAAAAAATGAAAAACATTAAATGTTGAAAGGGGAGTGGAGGGCTAGTATAGGGACATGACAAACTTTCTTGAATTACTTTTATCTTGAATTACTTTTTTTTCTATTTATTGCTTAAATTTTTTCTGTGCTTCGATTGGCAAGACAGCATTATTGTACATTTACATGCGGTTGCATAATAACACCGTGAATACTTGAGTAGAAATTTGCAAAAAAAGGTTTTTTAGATAGAAGAGTCACTTTAAAATTTTCTCTTTAGTCTTTTATTAACATATTTTATTTTTAGAATTTCAACAAATGGTATAGTATGTTATAAATCGTAACACTTATTTACTTATTTTTTTTATACCTGTTTTGATAACTTTTGCCTTGTATAGTTTCAATTAACCAGCATTAAAGCATAAACAGATGTCTTCGCGGGGCTAATAATATGAGTGAAATATGAATTTTAATTCAATGTTATGTTACATGTAAATTTAGGAAAGAGATAATGTGTCGGATTAAGACTTTTGCTTAATTATAAGATTTTTTTTTTTACATTACAAGGGCGTTTTTTATCATTTATAATGGGTTTTAAGAGTCATCCAAATCTGAGCTGTATCTAACATATAAGCTTTCAAAACATAGTAATAAATTGAAACCCAGGCAAGGAAAAAATTAGAATCGAAAAAGTGAAAATCCACAGAAAGAATTATTTTTAAAAATTGAGTAATTTCTTGGGTGAAAAATTTGAACACCTTAACCTTAAGTTAACACTTTAAGTTTTTTTAGTCCCTCAGTGGACTGATCGTTAAGACACGATTCCCAGCAGATCACTGAAGTCAAGCATCACTGACTGCTGTCAGTGTGCGGGTGCGTGGCTACTTGGATCAGTCTGCGTAGGGACCGAGGGTGTGCGGTATTGGTCCTCGTTGAACTGTTCTACCGTAAAGTGCTCGACTTCGCGTGCAGGTCGTCGGGCTACCGAAGCGGGGGTGCCATCCCCTCTGCAGAGGATCAAAATTGTGATGGTATGTCTTCGGATCATCTTCAGGGATGTTTCCCAGATCGTCGCCAATAGCCCATTGTGCAGCTCTAGTGCGACGTAACTGAACAACAGCAACAAGTTTTTTTAATCATCTGTAAATTTTGAGAAGTTAAAAAAAATATAAATTTAATAAAAAACGCGAAACGAAATTAATCTTATTGTAAGTAGAATAATATAAAAAATTTTATTTGCCAAAATTTTTATTTCAATTTGCTTAAAATATTTCGTTACATGGAAAAAAGATCAAATTCTAAGCGGTAAATTCCACGATCAAATTCCAATCGGTAAACTAAATTTTTCTTCTTTCTTTTTTTTCTTTTCTTTTCCGAAGACAGACATACAGACTGCGTGCAAAAATCCCTCAAATTTTTTTTTCTCTTTATCGATTTTCCTTAGATTCTATTTCAGTGTTCATAGCATCAACATTAGAAAGAGAATAGTTTTAAAATAACTTCTCTCGAAATCTATCGTGGAGCATTTACGTTGTTTTTTCAATGGCATGGTAGTATACAGCATGTTGAAATTTGTTGAATAGATTTGGTTTGAAACATTGAGAAAGATTTAAAACAAAAAATTCCCACTGCATCTAAATACTTTTTTTTTAAATTATCTACACATATGTATGCAAGGAAGGTGTTCCTCCAGCCATTGCTCTTATAGAATATTGTTAAAATCCTGCTGATCAAAACTAAAATGAAAATTAAATTTCAGTTACTTAATTTTGTTTCGTAAATTCAGTCCCAAGAAAAATATTTTTTTTACTACAATACAAAACATTCATTTGCAATTTTTTTCTTCAGAAAAGCAAAGATTCTAAACAAAATTAATATAAATTGTTTTCTTTTCTTGTTTTTTTTTAAAATTTTATTTTAACCGAAAGTAACTGGAGTGGTGGGTGCATCAGGGCATATCTTAGTGGGCCAGTCCACCCTTGCAGTTATAAATTTTATTATATAATCAATGTTGTGTACTTCGGCAATTTTAACCAGATGACAATATATTCAAAGTAAAGATACGAGTACAAAAAAAAATACTTTTTTTTTATATCGATATTCATATAAAACGTTACAAAATATCTGATTTTCATTGAACAATAAATGAATGACATTCTTTCATGCCTATATTATTATAATATAAATTTTAACGGGTGACATAACAGTTCAAATTTAACATTTAACTTAATGTTCTTTAAAGTTCATTTTGTTACAAATAGATGGCAGTACCAGGCATGCCTTTTTCTTTTCTTGTATTAATTTTGCACATTTGATTTTGTTACTACTAGATGGCAGCACTAGCAACGTTCATTATAATTACATTAAAAAGATTACAAGAGAAAGCAAGAGATCCAGCATTATCTACTTTTTGAATTCAGAAAACCATTTACTACAACTACAACTTTTATTTGTTTGCTATTTCGATCTTGAAGTGGTAAAATTCAAAATATGCCATTCTGCTCTTATACTATAATTTTGAGTGCTTAATAAAATATTTACGCTAACATTTTCAATTTCATACTTGTAGTTTAACTGTATTTATGTCTGCAATTTTTAATTGCGCTTTTGTGGTTAATAATTGTGTTTATTATAAACAATGGCGCATATACTAGATTTACCCAAAGAAATACTTCTCATTATTTTTAACTACATCCTTCAATCTGAAAACCAAAAATATTTTTTATCTTCAATCTCAAAGGTTTGCAAAGCATGGGAATTGGTCTGTCAAGATGCTCATTTTTGGCGTAAAATTGATGGATCTTTGCCACTAAATGCTTTGTTTGGAAAAAGCAAAAATGGCTCTTTCCTTAAAACTGAAGAATTAATTTGTGGTCCAACGGTTAATTTAAACTATTTTGAAAATTTAGATGAACTGTTTGCTGGAATGCCGAATTTAAAATCAATAAATTTCTCTAAAGTTCTGCATTTAGACAAACAAGTAATCAAATGTCTTAAAAAACACTGTAAAAATGTATCTTCAATAAAACTTCCAAAAAAGGATATTTCAATTACTTTACTCGATGAACTATTAGAAAATCATGGGCAGAATTTATTAGTTTTAGACTTATCAGGACAATCATTCAATTTAAAGAAAGCTCTGCTTGCAGTTTCAAAATCTTGTTTCAATCTTGAAGAGCTCGTACTTCAAAATGTAGATTGTGTCAATGCATTTCCTTTAAAAGAAATTCAAGAAAACTGTTCTAAGATGAAAGTGTTGCGATTGGGTATGCCTATAAAATTCTCTAAATATTCAAATTCTGAAAATCTTCCTGGTTTTCCTATGCTAGAGGTGTTTTCTCATCCGAATATTGAACTATGTGATAGATATAATCAACCTGGAAGCTGCGAGTTTTTTGATAAAGATTTGCGAAATCTACTTTCAAACTCACCTTTACTAAAGTTATTGGATATAAGAGGTAGTCTATATATTACTGTTAATGGGATTTTAGCATTGCCGGCCACTCATGTAGAAAGTTTATATTTATCTATGTCTAAACTTTGTTTAACGGGAAATATCCTTGAAATTTTGAATAAGTGGATCAGAAGCCTTCGTAGCGTGGACATTTCAAGAATGACTTCATTTCGTATAAATGAGGTATTGGTTGATGTAACAAAAAATGGTAGAATGATTAATTTAGAGCAGTTAGATTTAAATAACACAAAGATCAATGCAGAAACAATTATTAAGATCATAGAGAACTGTGCAAATCTCAATTCTGTCAACTTATCATCTTGTCGAGAGGTCGGTAGAGGTTGCATGCGTGAATTTAAAAATAGATCTGATTTGTTAAAACTACATGAAAAGCTTTTATGTCGACTTAATGAATAAATGTTTTTAGCTGTTTTATAGCAAATATAAATTGTATCAAATACTATTTTATCATAACCAATAGCACATGTAAACTTATAAAAAGTAATCTGTATAAAATAAAATTTTATCTTTGTCAGTTATATTAGTGGAAATTTATGTGGTAATTTGATTAAAATATAATTTTATCTTAACAGGCTACATTTTTGGAAATGTTATGAGTAGTCTGTAAAATATAGAATTTTATATTAACCAGCTACATGTGTGAAAATTAATGAATGAGGCTTTAAAATGGAATTTTATCTTTTCCAGCTACACATCTCAAAATTTATGATGTAATCTAGAAAATATAATTTTATTTTTGTTAGCTACATATGTGTGTGGAAATTTATGAGGTAGCCTGTATAAAGTACACTTTTATCTTTCCCAGCTACACACCTCAAAATTTATGACGTAAACTAGAAAATATAATTTTATTTTTGTTAGCTACATATGTGCGTGGAAATTTATGTGGTAGCCTATGTAAAGTAGAATTTTATCTTTGCCAGCTATATAAGCAAAAATTTATTCACTTAGTCATAGTCTGTATAAAATACAATCCTATCTTTGCCAGTTACATATGCGGAAATTTATGACATAGTCTGTATAAAATATAATTTTATAGAGAACTATGTGAAAGTATCAATTGTATAAACTTTTCTTCTAGCTAAGAGGTCAGTAGAGGTTGCTAGTGAGACTTTAGAGAAAAGTATGATTTGTTAAGGTTATATGAAATACTTTTGTGTTGGCTTAATATTAATTTATTGCTATCTTATAAATTGTCAAATTTGTGATGGTAATTATCTGATTGCCTTCAAAATATTTATAATAAAAATAAGAGAAGAAAGCAGATGAAATATTCTTTTAGTTTAAATTTTGAGGTTTATAGTTGTGTAATAACTTATTTTAAGTAATTGATTGTTGAGTTGATTTATTACATAATATTGCCCAACATGATCTTGGCATGTACAAATTCCATTTGGGCATATTTTTCTTACCTTCATATAAATATTAAAAATATCAAGAAGTACCCTCTCATATTTTTAACAGAACAAGAAAATGTCTTAGATGCTAGGTGAACTGTACCAAAACAAAAGAAAAAATTAATGAAAGACAATTAAATTTTAATAAGATTAAAAAATTATTGAATCCAATAAAACTTAAAAAAAAAAAATAATATTCTTTTATTTTCCTAGTCATTCTTATTTTTATTTAAAAAAGTTTTTCCTAAACACTTAATACTTGAAATTTCAATACGATGGCAAATATGAGAATTGTTATTAATTTTCGTTTAACATTTGTTTCAAATCTTTAATAAATTTTGACTCTGTCAAAGAACATAATTTTTTTTTATATGTTTATATTAAAATTCTTGCCTATCTAAATTTCTTTCTTTTGCTGTTTATAATTATTATTTTTGGAAAGGAAGAATGATTCTTCAAATGAATAGCTGTATATTATGCAAATAATATAGTCTATATATTATTATATAGTGATTCCCAATTTTTTACAGCTGTGGAACCCTAAATAATCAAGCTTCTTTTGGTGGAAGTCAAACTTTATGTATTAAAATAAGGTTTGTTAGCTGTAAATATACTTTTCAAAGAAATAAGGCAGAGAAGAAACTAATTATTTTGAAAATATTTAAAGTGAAGAATGAAGCAATGGATTTGTTCTAGGTGTATGCATATACTGAAAATGAATAAAATAAGTTCCAATTTTGGTTTTCAAAAAAGAACTGCTATGCACGTTGATAATAGTAATCAGAGAATCATAATTATTTATTCTGGAATTAGGTTACTTTATTTTGAATTGCTCAATTAGAAATACTTATGGATTTTTTTTAGTGTGTATTTTTTCTAAATTTATTCAATATATTGTTTGTTTTTTGATTAAAAAAACTATATATTTTTTCTTTTTAAATTTTACTTCTTTTTTATTGGTATTTTACATATATAATTTAATATAAATAACTAAAATGTTACATGAATTATGATTTAATGCGTGGATATAAATATCTTTATTACTGGTTTTTTTTAAAAAAAAAAAAAGCTGTAACTTTAGGAATCCCTGTGATCCTTTTACAGAACCCTAGAGTTCATGGGAATACCTTTTGGGAACTGCTGGTCTAGTTTATTTTTTATTGAATTGAAATGAAAACTTCATTATCATCAGCATTTCTTTCTGAAAATAAAGTTTTTTTTAAAAAAAAAAATTTTTTTTTTATAAAAATTCCTTTTATTTTTCTGCTTTCTCTTTTTTTTTTAATAGTTTTTTTTTTGTATTTTTTTTTAATAATGTTATTAAAATTTTTTCTCCAAAGAGCAATAAACAATAGGCTTACATGTATTTTTAGTATATATTCTAAAAATTGTTTAAGCCTGTACAAGTTTTTCCCATTTATGTATTTCTTAGGCTAGCATGCTCAGCACCAGCAGGGCGGATAAAAAAAATGTAAAGATTTTTTTTAAATATTTTTTAAGCCCTTATTTATATAATACCTATAATGAGTTAAAATAAAAGTAAATGTTTGACTTATGTTTTAGTAGTTAACTTAATGATGATATCTTCTCCCAGTTTTTTTTCCTTCCTAGTAAAACTAACAAAAGGACTTTATAATACTTTGTTATTACTGCTGGTGATTGCAAAAGTTCTTTCTGATATTTGTGTTAATAGGTATATTTATGTTAATTTGTTTCAATTAAAATTTTTATAGAATATAATTTCTAAGAAGTTGCATGTTTTACTGAAAATGGAACATAATTCAAAAGCTTATTGGAAGAAGGTACCAAGTGATATTTTATCAAATCTGGAAACATGAACTTTAAAAAAATATGACAAGAGCAGGGAGCTGTTTATGAAACACATTTACTCACTAAAAACTATTTTATTTTATGATCTGAATAAGAAAAAAAATTCTATTCATACATATGATCAGAGCATTTTCGTACATCCATTACCAATTTTTTAGAATGTCCGTTGTTTTTATAGTCTTTCTGTTCTTTATGATAATTAATGATGGATAACTTATTTTTAAAGACTATCAGGCTGCTGCAAAGCACCAGACGAATTTGTCAATATTAATTTATATTTTTATTTATTGCTATTTATTTTCGTTGTGATCTTATTTTTAATTTTCTACCAATTTCAGTTTATAACATTATTTTTGACTTACTATATTGTTATATAACATTTTAATTTTCCGTTAATTGATCCACCTTAATAAATTATTTATAACCGTTTTGTTATAAATACCGTTATAAATTATTTATAACCAATCTTACCGTTTTGTTTTAATAGATTTGTACATGCTAGCTTCATTGGTCAATCTCAATATTATAGATAGTTGATTCAAAACGTTGTAAAAGAATGTATAATTCTTTTTTCTAAATTTGTTCATCAAGAAGAAAACAAAGTCAGCGCTTTGGAAATCACTTGAAATCAAATACAATTTTCATATCAGCCATGTATTAAATGCACAGTGTTGTTCATGTTTAGCCGTTTTCATTTCTTACATAAAATTAAGTATTGAAGGAATTTCTTTGTTTTTAATAATAATATTTAGTTAAAATACAATTTTAACTAGTAAGTATAAGTTTTGCATATTTAATTACTGAATGCTAATCATAATTTTGTATGCATACTATTAATTTAACATTAATTCTTACATTAATTCCCCATAATCAAGGGTACCACTTTTGTAGTAAAAACAAAAACGCACAGCAATCTTGAAAGATGTCTTCCAAGCTTGATTCGAAAAGAGTTGAATAAATCGAATATCAGTTGACATTGTCAAGAGTGTCTTGAATGTTGTGTTGGTTTTAAATTTCCGCATGGATTACTGAAAACCTCTGTTACGGCGTATAAGTAGAAAAGTCTTCAATGGACAAAAATACATTGAATAAAGGAAAGTGTTTTAAAATGACGAATTAAAATTTGGACTGTTTGAAACTAGACGATTGGCTGGCGAACTTGTCATTAATCTTGTTGAAGGACTAACTCTTTGCTAAAATTACAATTACGGATACCAGATGGCAGCACAACGAAGTATTAAACAGCCAATCGTCGGACATATTAACGTTTTCCAGTTCCCTAAGTTTTTTACACACCTTCGTAATTGCAGGTTTCTAATTCTTCCGCAACAAAATGTAACGCGTAAAAAAATTCGCGAGAAAAGAACTTAAATTCGGTGGCATAAATCGCAATTTCGAAAAAAATTCTTAAGTTCACCAGTAAAATTTACCTTATCAGCACGTCAAATTTCAATTCTGTAGTTGCTTATAATAACTGGCTTGCCAGAAAATTTTGTACTAAATCTTTAACGCTTAATAATTCTCAAAATAATTATCGAATGTTATATTTTTTATTCCACCGCGTTCCGTGTACAGTGGTAAAACAGACCTCTCTAAATAACTTTGATCTACTGATTGGTTCTTTACCTTCTATAATACTTAATCTTAATGGTTCAAGAGATTTACCTCGAATATGCTAATTAATTAGTGCAGACGTTATTTTAGGTTACAAAATCAGATACAATAATTTAGTTTCTCAGAATAAGCATCCTTTTTTTCCCGGGATTTCTGACTTTGGGCTTTGGATTTCTGACCTCCAAGACTAGAAGAAGCCGCAGTTAGGAAAATATGCATATTTTCCTAACTGCGGCTCAATAGTTTGGTCAGCACTGTGGTTCTAAGTTTAGACCCCTTAATGTTAATTTTATTTTTTGCGTATTTCGCAATATCTAGTTGAACATTTTACGCGGATGGAAATCTTTTTGCACACAATTATAAAATTCGTTTATCCAAAGATAATTCCATGCAAAAAGTAAGCCTTGTTTAATATTTATAGTTTTATTTAGACGAAAAAATTTTGAATTGTAAGTATTAAAATTTTTACATAATTTTAAAGAATGGAATTTTAAATGGCGAAATGCAAAATTTGAGCGAAATTCGCTTAAAGTTCTTGAGAAATCGAATTAAAAAAATACGACTTTTTCAAAATTCGATTTCTTATGACTATTCTACCGATTTCGCTCAGCTTTTGTATTTGGCCATTTAAAATTCCCTTCTAAATAATGTAAAAAAGTTTATATCTTACAATTCAAAGCTTTTTCAACTATTATTATATAAATAAAGTTAATTTTTGCCTTGCATTATCTTTCGATAAACGAATTTTATAATTGTGCAAACGATTTTCAATTGGGTATAATATGAAAAAAACACAACTACTTCGATTTAGTAGGAACAACATATGACGCAATGCTAAACGAATGGAATTTAGTTATTATTTATTTAGTTATTGTTATTAGTAGTTGTTATTTGTTTTAGTTGTTGTTGTTTATTTAGTTGTATTTAGTTTCAATAACTTTTCCTTATAATGCAATAAAATCTGGCGAGCAGCTATTTAAACGATCGAACACTTCGTTTGTTTATTTGTGGCTTGAAGTTAGGCTCGCAGAAAATGCCGTTCATGGGTTAAATTTAGTAGGAACAACACAACCTGTGACGTAGGCTATATTATACCCAATTCCCTTAATAAGATTCAATTCGCGTAAAATCCGATTCCATCAGAGAAATGTATGTTTGTTCTGAGAAAGAACGTTTTTGTGTCTGATTTCGTAACTTAAAATATCACCTGCTCTAATTAATTAACATATTTAAGTCTCCCACGAACCATTAATATTGAGTCGTGGAACGTGAAGATCCGATCATTAGATCCAAAGTTATTCAGGGTGGACTGTTTGCAGTCTGTTCATATATTTTCTCAATGTATGCCCTCAATAAGTATAACAGGGTGCGTAGCGTTTTTTAAAGGTGCTTATTTTCGTTTTTTAAAAGCCCTTAAAGGTCCTTTTTTCAGTGGTTGTTTTTAAAAGAAGCTTAATTTTCCTTTTACCATGTTGATTTCTGCCACGTATTATGCAAAAAGACACTGTTTACATTGTTCTATTCAATGTTTTCCCGATTAATTCAACCCCAATCTATTTCGGCGTACAGTCGGTTAGTAGCGCATGAAAACGCCATTCGTTTTAAATGATTTAAAATTTCATGATTTTTGACTATTGTCAAAAACTATGCCAAAAGTTTTTTTACCTAACATGACGGTTAAAATCAGATAATTGTCAAAAACTTGCTAACCCTGCCTAATTATATATTTTTTTAAGTGCTTAAAAATATTTTTGAGTGCTTAAAATGTGCTTATTTTTTGTTGAAAAATTTGGCTACGCACCCTGAATAAAATTTTAAAAAGTTCCCATTAACTCCTTTACGTAAAATTTTTTTTGAAAAAAACCAGCCGAAAAAAATCTTTTTTTTAATGTAAAAAAACACACTTTATGTTAAAAAACACATTATTTTCAATTCTTGATTATATTCGTGTGTGAAAAATTATAGCAGCGTAAAATACAACGCCGCTCGAATGATCTCGAGTGTGCACAGTTTGGCCTGTTTAGCGAGCTTGAGTTAACTCGAGAGCTCAAGTTAAGGGGTTAATATTTCAGACAAATAAAAAAAGTTTCATAAATTATCTTTGGTTTAAATTTACCTGAGTTAAAAACAAGCAAAGAAATTAAAAATAATAATCATTTTACCGATATTTAGCAAACTGTAATTTTACAGATATTTAGCAGGAGGTAATTTTAGGTGGCCATTTTGCCAATATTTAACAGGCGGTCATTTTGCCGATATTAAGCATGTACCAGGCGAAATGTTTTAACTTTTTTTTATTCTGAAAATTTAAGAACTATTGTAAGTGTATTTTAATTTCGTCCCATAAAACTTTTATGCTGAACCACATATGCTTTAAACTAAAACGTATGCAAAATCACTTTAATTACTTAAAACTAAAAATATTTTTTTTTTTTAAATATTTGAAAGAAAGAAATGACGTAAATTTTGAAACTACTTTTCAGAAATTGCTTATAATTTTAAATTGCTTTTATTGTACACATTACAAACAAAAAAATTAATTTATCAGTAAAAATTCGAATTACTGATTTTTCCGGTTAAATTTTTCGTACAAAACATCACTAATAAATTTTGTAAATATTTAGTCTGAAGTTAGTTAACAATAATGATTACAGATGGCGCTTTTAGAAGTAAAACTTTTACTCACCTGTTCTAAATTCAAATGCTGGGAATAAAACAATCAAGCGAAAGGAAAGGAACGGGAGGAGTGAAAATAGAAAAAAAATAAAACACGCTATGCCTCGGGGCTCTGTTTAGTAGCTTTGGCTCAAGCTTTTTACTCTCACAATTCGAGATGCGATCAGCAGTTGCGGAGCTGGTTTCAATGTAGGCCATTTCACCTCCTAAATTATATATTCAATTCTATTTCACTCTCTTTCGTTGTACAGACGATTTAATTTTCTCTGGAATTTCCAAATAAAAAGTGAAAAATCGTCTGCATTAAAAAAATATTTACAATCGTTTGCGTCATTAGAGTGTCTGGTTTGTTTTTTTAAGAGAGAAATTCTATTATTATTAAAAAGTGTGTTTACAATGGAAGATTGTTTATCTGTAAAGAAGCAAGTGTGGAATATATGCTATGGTTAAGATGGATATTAAATAAGAAATAAATTAAATCTTCGAATAATTTCTGATGACTTTTGGAAAAATTATCTATGCCGGAGATATTTTTTAACCCCTTCGCTACACAATGCTCAGCCAGGGGTAAACTAAAAAATGGAGACCAAATTTATCATAGCCAAATATCTAATTTATTTGAGCTTATTGCTGATAAAATTTCAGGTAAGTACATTTAGAATTATATTATGGAATATTAATTACAATACAAATTTATGTAAAAGGAAAAAAGTGTTTTTCTTATCGTTTAACTTTTTTTCTTAAAGAATAAAAAACTTTGAAATGAAACTAATAAACGCTAACAGCTTATAGCAATTTTATGCATAAAAATCTTAAACAAAGCTGTTTTATGATTCAAAGCTGATATTTACGTATTATATACTGGCAAAAAAAGATTTTGGATAAATTGTGTTTAAATTTGTTTAATTTTTCACCAAAATTCGTTTTATTTTTTCGGTATTACATTATGATATTGCGATGAGTTACGTTGTAGTAGATGAACAGTAATATTTTTTATTTATTTAATTTATTTATTTACTTATTATTTTTTTCACAATTCCTTGAAAAAACTTCATATCTTCTTACTTATTTATTCATATCACATACTTCCTTACATACATATATTCATTGATGTATATAAATATATACTTCATGTTTAAATCTCATTTCTAATTATTGATTTATCTTTTCTAGATAACTGATAGTTTTGCAATTCTTACTTGCTTTTGTTATATTACTTACTTTTTTTTTGTTTATTTGCTTTTATCCTTTTCTATTTCAGTTTGCAAGCATAGTTTGTTGCATTTTTTTATATTTTTGTTACCCTTCTTAGTTCATATTATCTAAAGTTTTCACCTTGAGTTTAGTGCAGTGTCATCCAGCTCTTGTTTCATTAAACTGTATTTAATTTAATTCCAGTTCTTACTTTATCTAAAAAGTTATGTTTAAGTTAAAGTAATATAATACTAAGAAAATATCATGATTTTCGATCAGGTTTTTACTGTTACGATAACAAATAAATGCCTTATTTTGTTAATTATGCTTAAATTTTATTAATAATTTATTTTGTTAATAATGCCCTATTTTTTCTGTAGAATCGAATACATTTTATTTATTAATCAATTTCATGAAAATAAAAACTGAATGCCATTAAATTGTATATAATTGAATTCTAAAAGTTATCATAATAGTTGAAGCTCACATGATAATTTTTAGTTACTAAATTTCGGTAATAGCTTATACTATTATGAAAGTAAACTCCTTACCTTGTTATTTTATAAACAAAATCGGATTTGTATGAATTAATTAATGTTATCAAAAACTAATTAAAAGCTTCGAATAAGTGCTATTTTAAAAAGTGTAGATATTTAGTGATGTAAACATTTAGAGAAAGTGTTGATAATCGTATATTTAATCAGAGAGTGTATTTATTTATTTAAATAAATTCGGTGGAGTTTAGTGATTTTTTTCTTCTTTTGGATAAATCCGATGACATGAAAACAACAAGTCTTCAGTCAAAAGTAAATTTTTGAACGAGAAGATTTAAACACAATAACAATTTAATTTTCATATTAATCCACGATAACTTTCGCCAACTAAGATTTGGCGGCAGATAACTTTCTTAAACGATGAACTGTTAGTCTCAATCAACCGAAGTTATTCATTTTGTTTTGAAAAAATTTTATCTCAACAAAACAAAATGATCTCTTTAACTTATCATCAAATCATCCATCTTCATTTAGCTGGAAGTTTATAGACTTTAAATGCAATTAAGGAGATCTATTCATGATGAAATCTCTGAAACATTCTTAAAATCTTTTATATATTCTCGTAATTTTTTATTATTATTTATTATTAGATAACCATGTATACATCGAATTATAAACTATGAAGCGTCATTAATCTTTAATTAATAAAAAATAAATTTGAAACTTAGCTGTTTTTATTCATTTAATTATTTATTACTTTTATTTTAGTATTTTTTTTTATTATTCTTGCTCCAATTTAGAATTTATTAAGTTTAGTTCTTTCATATTTTGAACAATTTGCAAATTCATACTTATAAATAATTTACAACTCCAAAAATCATTTAAATATGCTGTATATTCTTGAAAAATAATATTTTAAACTGAATCAATAGATATGTTTTTTTCTCCAATTTTTCCTTTACAATTTTGTATTTACTCAATTGCCTTCTAATTTTTCCTAAATTATTTTTAATTGAAAGATATTAAAACAAGTCTTGAGATTATGAAATTATTGCATGTGGAAAGCAATTTTGATGTATTTCTTATCGAAAATATGTTTAAAAAAATTATGTTTGGATTCGAATCGATAAAATCAAACTAAACAGATTTATTGCACAAATCGGAGAGGATTACTTAGAAAATAACCGGTAATGGCTAGCTGTTTTGGTTTCTTATTCACACATGCTTTCCAAAAGTCTTCTAACTTACAAACTGTATTTAAAAAATGATTTAAATTTTCATATTGCATTGCGAAAGAACGAACAGTTTTAATTGTTTCGTAAGCGTTCATCAGAGGAAAGTAAACCAAAGTATTTGCTAGTCAAATTTAAGAAAAATTCTAGCTCCACACGTCTATACCTGTAGAAATACGATTCAGCAATATCAATTTCTTTGACTGATGTAATGATATCAACACTATAACAATAGCATTCAAAGATACATTTACCATTTCCATTTTTAACTGACACTACACAAGGGTGATTTTCTCAACACGCTAGCCTTAACATTAGGCAAATAAGAAAAATTAATCTTATGATACTTTAAAATTAAGACTATGCATTTCAGTATTTAAATCAATGAAAAAACATTAAAATAAAAATTTAGTGATAGCTTCATATTGTAGTTGCATGGAAAAATGTAATTATTGTCCACTCACGTTGCTTAAAAAAACACGAAATTTTTTTTTCCATTTTTTTTCTTTATAAAACAAAAAAAAAGTGAACATATAAAAACATTTTAAATGATACTAATTGAAAAGTTAATTAATAATTTTATTAGAAAGTAAATTTTATCTAGAATTGTGAAGAAATATTTTTTTTATACAAATGTTTACCTTTTCACTGTAAAAATATTTTTGTATCATTTCTATTTAGTACACAAACACATAATATGTATATTTAGATTAAAAAAATATAACTTGTTTTTTTTTTTTTTTCAAAAGAGTTTTTATATTCAGGCAAGCAAAGGGAACAATGATGACGATTAACAGGAAAACAGTTTTTACACTTATAAAATATATCTTATATCAAGATATATTTTTTCGTAATAAACGATATTATTAAAGAAAATAACCGATATTATTTGTTCTACAATTTTAAATACACTTTATTTCATCTAAATTGTCTATAATATAGAAACGGGCAGCTGTGGCGCTTTTTAAATAACATTTTTTTTTTTTTTAATTGTATAACTTGCGTCTGTGAACAGTTAAAGTTCTTACCTCTATAGCCCATGCATGATTAAGCCATTAAAGCACTTTATTCTCTTATAATATCTACGATACCTAAAGCCATTAGAAAATTCATTTTTAATCTATTATATAACTATTTTTTATTGTAAAAAAAAAATAATATTTTGGTATTTATCACGGCATATACCTAGACACTATAATAATAAATACCAGATCCGAAATTGAGAAAAAAAAATATGGTTAAAACTACCAGATTATGATTAAATTAAAAAAGCAGGAAAATTTTTACCGAAGCTCTTATTTAATGATTTTTGTAAAATTATCTATAAAATGCGTTTTTATAATTTGTGATGGTAACTTTATCATGATACCTTGGAGCATGGTATAAAAATCATTAATTCGGTTATATTTACTTTTCAGTTTTGTATTTTTTTTAGTAAGTGTGAGGTAATAAGAACTATAACTTTGAAAGCAACAATTTCTGGTAAACCGTTACCATATGAAAGGAAAAATCACCAAATGAATGGTTTAAGTACCGCAAATTTTGGTTCTATTCAACATAATTATATATATATATATATATATGCTGGTTAATTTCCCTTTATGCTGGTTAATTTCCCTAAAATAACCCTCTATGATGGTGAGTTAGTGAGTGATCAAAGTGTTTCCTTTTCTTCTTTAAAAATCAAAGATTCAGAATTTAATATTACAGTCTCAAATATGAGATGCATCGCCGTTTCCATGCCCGTGATAGAATAAAATAATAACGTTTCAATGGCTTAAAAATCGATATCTTTCCATCTTTTGTTTTTCTTTCCAACATAAAGATAAAATGAGACATAACAGACTCAAGAAAATGAAACACTCATCCCAACAATATAGTTGTTGAAGTTAGTCAAATTATGGTTGGATGCTGTTTTATATGAATTAATCTTTGCTTAAGCCCTTTATAAGTTGCACTCAAAATCAAACCAACAATACTGGTCATGTAATAAAAAGGAAAACTAATTAAAAACCTGCGTGATTCATTTTGTTATGCTACACAAATTAGAAAAGTAGTTGTCAAAGTATTTAAATAGTTAGTGAAATGCATGACTTATTAATGGCAATTATAAATAAAAATGTTGATTATCTTAAATCCCTAATTGGCAAGGAATCAAGATGGGTACAAATTAGGGTAATAGTTAAGATTATAGAAATAAAGGCCTTTTTTAGTTAAATGGGTACCCTACCACTAATTGAGCTTTGTATCATTAATTTTTTTCAACATATTTCTTTGTATAAAGATCGCAAAAGAAAAAAAAAACATGTCTGAACAAGATAAAGTTTCGAATAAAAGAAAAACATTTTTCTTTCCTCTCAGAATAATAAAAAAAGAAATTTGAAGCCGTTATCTCCTAATAAAGTATAAGAAAGCATTGTATTTATGCTTCCAATGTGAAATATACGTATACATATATCATTACGATTAAAATTATAATTTGTTTGTTTGTTTCAATTTCTCAGGAGCTACTCGACCAATTTCACTCAATTTAATCAATGTATTTTGTCATGTAAAAAAATTGCTTCGAAATGATTTAAAAAGCTGTATACCTATCAAAACTGTCAAACCTATAACCAATCAAACTGTAAACATTTTCAAAATTGAAAGAACGAAAAAATCGAAATACACAGAAGGAAATATTTCGAAAATCTATCATTTATGTAATAATTTTTTTCAAATAAAT